GTGAGGAGTTTTGGTCTTTACCTTAAGGATAATAGGAAATTAGTATTGTATTTTGAGCAGGGAGGTGACAGTGACATCAGATTTGTATTTTAAAAGCTTACCCTGACTGCAGTGAGGAGAGTAAGGAAGACCACGCACGGAGCAGAGGGAGGGAGGGCAGCGGGGAGCTGCAGTTGCAGGCAGGAGGGCCGTGGCCGTGGCCCAGAGGGGGTGCTGGTGCAGACACCATGAAGTGGATGCGTCTAGAGTTGTTTGGGAGACTTGGACTGAAGTTCATTTACTCTGTAGGAAATAGCCTTAGCTATAGTGGTGTAGGACTCCCTTTGGGAATGTAAAATAAATGTGAAAGTTTATGACTGACTAAATTTTCCATTTTTTCTCCTACGTAGGCAATTGATTGAAGGAACAGAAGTTCTTAAACAACTCGAACTAGTTCCAACAGAGAACGAAAGACCAATACCTCTATGTGTGATTGCTGACAGCGGAGATATTTATGTCTGATTTTCACATCAATATTTTCTGTGATAATTTATTACTTTCTATCTGATCAGCTGTTTCTAGATTTAATTAAACAGTGCTTGTAGCATGTAATTTGAAAGCTGTGGCAGACACTGTAGGTGGGCTCATCTAATACTCTATTTTCCTTTAGTGCCTTAACCATAGAGACTGTAAAAGTGAAATACTCGATTTCCCAGCCTCCTTTGCAGCCAGGTGTGGCCACCAGATGCGCTTCTGGCCATTGAGATGGGAGGAGTACCACCACTGGTCGTGCCCCCCTTCCCTTCACCCAGGCTTGAGCCACAGCTGTCCCCTTGTGGCATGAAGGAAAAGCCAGGAGAACTGCAGAGAGACATCAGCTCCAACTATTGCACCGGGGAACCAATACCAGCAACCACTTACCTCTGGACTTTGTACCATATGAGACCAGTTAGTAGACCCCTAGGTTGTCAATATCACTGAGAATTTTGTAACTTGAAACCAAAAACATTCTTAATTTAGCAGCGTACCTAATGCTTTTGGACCATAAAACATTTGTAATAGAATTATATTCTCATTTGTAACCATATTTCCACCAAGACAAACTTGGTAAACCACCAAATAGGAGTGATACAACAGAAACAAACCAATTCACTATAATATTTCCTTGCTGATACATTGCATTCAGAAGGTATGTATATTCTGGATGTTTTTATTTATGATGTGAACATAATTCTTATCTCTCTGAGCCATACCAACCATATGAAATGATATCAAGGGCTTGTGTGACAGTCCTCATGGTGGTTGACTTGTGATGTTATTGGAGATCCAGCTTTATCAGCTGCTCTGTAAGCTAAGAGTCTCAAAACTCTTGTCAGCTGGGGCGCTTTTTACATACAGATTGCTGGACTCTGTCCTTGACCTACTAAGTCAAAATCTAAGCCTGAGCCAGGGATTTTGTGTCCACTTAGCTCTGTCCCAGTGGTTGTCTTTTAGACAGCTGGGCACTAGTCACTGGGGAATCACTGCCAGGCATACGTGACTGGTTTCATCCTGCTTGGTGTAGTCAGCAGTGTTTCACTCTTCTACTGGTGACCTTGCTCAGCGCCTGTCACCATCACTACCCTGTGCCCCTGCTCTACCCAGGATAGTGTGCTTTCTTACCTCAGCAAAAGGAGGTTTATTTTTCAAGAATGATCTCTGCTCAGTCTCAAAGGGGCAGTCCTCTAATTGATTTGGAACTTGCCAAAGGTAGGCGTATGCTTTTTTCATGCTTTCTATTTTGAAATTAATTATACATTCATCAGAAGTTGCAAAAAATAGTACAGAGCAGTCCTGGGTACCCTTCACCCTGTTTCCCCAGTGGTTATAGCTTATACAACTATGGTACAGTATCAAAACCAGGAGATTGACATTGGTGCAATGTGTGTGTGCCATCTTACTGAGCATAGATTCGTGGAACCAACACCACAAGAAATATGCAGAACTTTTTCAGCGCCACAAAAACCTCCCTAATGATGTCCCTTAATAGTCACGGGTATGACTCCTCTGGCCCCCCATCCCTAACTCCTGACAACTGTTTTATTTTTTGAATGATAGCTTAAGATCTGAGGGTATGAGGAGGAAGCACACCGCCTATATCACATTCTCAGCTCAGAGGCAGCTTAATGTTAAGAATGGGTGTTCTAGAGCCAGACCGCCTGGGTTCAAGCCCTGGCTCTGCCATTCCAAGCTGCATAAACTCAGGCAGGAACTCTGTGCCTCAGTTTCTTCATTTGAGAAACAGTAGTACCTACCACATAGGATTGTTGCAAGCGTTCAATGAATCAATTCCTATAAATAACCTAGAATCAGGGCCTAGTATGCTATAAGTGCTCAATAAATGTATTCTCAAGAAATTTCATACTCAATAAATTACTGGTTTATAACCTTTAGGATGTGGTCATAGAACTAGTATATTTTTTAAAAGCTTTCCAATGACACTGATAGCCAGATTTTTAACCCTTGAAAAGCCATCTCCTTTTCCTATATTCACAGAGTACAGGAAGAGGAGAACTCGGGCCATTTGTCTGAAGCCTCCAGGCCCTCTCTGGGCCTCCATCCAGGTTCCTGTCACACTGAGGACATCTCAAATAAAAGGGAGCTGAGCTTGCCACCAAGACTAAGAAACCAGTGAAGCAATAAGTTAATGAAAACTGGTGCTTTGCAAGCATCCTGGTTAAAACAAGTTACAAGCGTTGGTCATGTAATAACCAGCACAGAGCAATTTTTGCTGGTGATGAACCTGTATATTAATGGCATTAAGCATTTAATACGATATTGTGAAAGAAGTGGGATATTTGAGTGCATATAAGAAACCCGTAGGAAGCTGATTCTAGCTTCCTATGTCAGTTTGGCAGTAATGTAAAAGTAGAACCTTGCTAATCTTCTCAAGGATGGCAAGATCATGGTCTCTTTGTTCCCTCTAACTTTCTACTTCTAGGCCACAGAAATTTCAATCACAGATCTGTCTATGCAGTGGTTCTTATTACCACCATTTAA